GATCTCCATAGACACCTGGTGCTTTTTCACTTTATTCTTGCAAGAGCTTAATTACCCAAGTGATTCTGGTAACTGTTAACACTGAAGCTGACAAGAATAAAATATTGCCTTGCAATCACCTTGCTCCCCAAAGTTAAGCACATGCTTACAGGATTTATGGGAGCATCGCCTCTGGGCACAGGGAGTTTGTCACGGAGCATCCACAGGCTCTGATTGATTCCAGCTCAGCCCCACAGCCGTGACTGGGAGCAGCCAGGGACAGCAGCCACATGTACTCAGCCTCCACAAGAACTTGCAGCATCTCCTCGTGACAAGCCCTGATTCGTGATACTAAAATGCTGTGAAAGTGCTGGTGCCCCACACCACAAACCGCCTGCAGATTCAGGGTGAACCTCCCATCCCACCCAGCCTCTTTCCTGCTCCTGCATTCCTTGAGGCAGGCAGGATCTCTGGAAGAAGCTTTTCTTCTCCATCACCAGAGACACACAGAGCTCCCACGCTGGGAGAAAGGAAATCCAGAAGATTTCCCAATGCCTAGGGTTTGATTTTGGGTGTCTGCACACTCCTTAGCAACCTCAACAATAAGCATGGGCTGAGCAGCCCCTCAGATCACTCCAAATCTGTGCGAGCTGGAGATAAACCAGAAGAAAAAAGGCTCTGTGATAACATCAACAGGGGAAACCCCACCAGGCTGAGTTCGAGTTAGGACCCCAAATCCTCTACACTGATGAACATCTCTCACTTCAAGTTTTTTGCTTTAAACTCCATTCTTGAGCTCCTAACTGTTTAAATACTTCTCCTCGCTGCAGCCTGCTCACTCCGAGTCTCCCAGACCTCACTTTCCTCACACGGTGCACTCCCAGCTGAAGAGGTCCCTTTTGTTAAACCCCATCTTTGTGGAGAAATTCATTCAGCACATGCACCTGCTAAACTATTCGATGGCAGCACTGATAAGTGGTGGTCTAGCTGGGAAGGTAGAGATATGGAAATGAGTTATCCTGTGCTTTGAAAAGCACTGGAATGAATCCTTGTGGCTCCAAAAGCTTCCTGCCATACACTAGCCCACTTTGAGTCCCCAAAACATCAAGGTTTCTCACAGGCTGAGTTGTTAGAGCTGGTGAAAATATCCTGAATGTGGATTTAGCATCTCATGTTTAGGATCTTCTTTGTGCACATGCTAAAGCTCCACCAAATGTCTCTGGGGGCTCCTGCTGGGTGTTCAAATGTGAGCACCCCTCTGCTTGATGATGAGCAACATCATCCCTGAAATACAAAGATGTGCAACAGGAGGGTCTACACCTGAAAAGACCTGGCACATGCTGACCACACTCCCTCAAGATCACCACCACAAGTAAGGACACTTCAACTCTGCAACCCTTGTTGCTTGCAGTCCAAATCCCATCATTATTTTACCAAGGATTAAAGTGATGGTAAACAAGCAAATGGAGACAGTAGTTTTGCCCAGAAAGAGATGCCAGAATTCAAGTTAGAGGTATTTCCAGGAGATGATCTGTGTTTTCCAAAGCCCTCTTCCAGCCACACCATCAACAGGTCCCTTGAGCTAGAAGTTGCTTCATTCAGGAGCAATTTTCCTAGACAGTGTTGGCTCAAAGAGCAAAGCAAATAGAAAACTCGTGCCCTGTGAAGGTGTTCATGAATGGCTTTCTCCATTCCCACTTCACTGGCTCAGATGTTTCTCATCAGAGGAAGAATCTGTGTGCAAAGCATCCTCCTGGTTAAATGCAGAAGCAGCCAACATTATAGGGAGTTAGAGAGCATAACAAATGGACTTATATATTTTAAAAATGCTGTGGTGCAACTGCAGTGACAGCCCAAAGGCCACCTTCATGCCCTGAAGGCAAACAAACCAGAAAGACTCAAATATGACACCAGCTAGGTTTTATAACAATTTATATCAGAATAATTAATTTGGATTGTTACCAAATTCATTGTTGGTAGCAAGCAAGCAATCCAGCAATGTCCTGGAGGAGCAGTTTTTTGCAGTCACCCAGCAAGTCCCAGCTTTTGCATCAGAGATGACAAGAGGGGTTTGTAGGGTGTCACCTGAGCCAGTACATCCCTGCCTGGGGTTCACTCCTGGCACGTTCCTTGATGAACTACCTCGGAAGAGGCCTCCCAGGTGGTTATATCACCCTGCAGATATGCTCTGAGCCCACGAGCTGGTCTATTGATGGGCTACTGAAGAGCATCTGCAGCTTTGGGCTGCTGGTGCTCTGTGCCAGCCACAGGACAGAGTGTAAACCAGGTTCTTTCAGCCGAGCTCCACAGTTAGACACATGCTTAAGCAGTTTTCTTATGTAAAGAAACACTCAAAAATCAGACTGTTAGTCTGGATTAATGCCGGCCAGCTACAGATGAACTTCAATGAGTCATCCCCCAGAGACATCAGGTCCCCTAAAATAGCATCAGCAACTGAATCTGTAGAAAGGCTGGAATATTTGGACTGAAAGCTCTGATCACAATGCTTTACATAAGCTGGCAAACATGCCACCCTCCCTAGGCTGAAATGAGAATTCGCCTCAAGCCAGGGCACTCCCACAGTTCTGTCTCATGCGCTGGGAAGCACACTCCTGACATCGCCTGATGCAAGACAGCAACAAACTGGCTTGTTTGGGGTGGTTTTCCTTCCACTGAAATTTTAATACAGTGAAACTACTTGAGGACAAGTCCAGAGATACTGGAATCAACCAAATATAGTCAGAAAATGGTGTAACAGCTGGTGCTACAGAAATTCGCACAGGGAAAAGCAACAAACCCAGCTCAAGATCGCAGAGGCTTTATGTAGAGTGGCAGCAGGAAACTTGAACATGAGGAATGACAGGGGACACTTTCCCAGAGGCCTGACACAGGCTGGAATACAGGTGTTCTCTCTTCCTGCTGTGTGATGGGGACAGAGATAGAGAAGGGCTACAAAATCCTGGAAGAATAGTGAGGAAGCAGCCTGGCATGTGCTGTTGTGTTGAATTTTCGTCCTGCCACCTCTGTAGGGAAAACAAGGGAGGATTGTCAAGAGCCTGAGGGAACCAACAGGCTCTAATTGCTCCAGTCAGCCTCTCCTGGGACCTCAACCCATGAACTCCATAAGCTCCATTCAATCTGAGATCTAGGCAACCAATTCTTCCTGATCTCTTTTTAGTGTACCTGCTCCTAGGTATTCTTAGATTGATGCTGGACTTCACTTGCTGCCTTTAATTCTCTGGGTGATACCTGGGCTGTTGGTCCACCCCTGTGCTCTGCTAGCCTGGCTGTGGAGGTACACCCACCTGGTAAGGCTGTGCCTGTCCTTGGCTCCCGGCTCACCTTCCCATTAGGTGGATTTTGCCGTTTCACACAGCTGGAAAAGAAAGATGCAGTGCTGTGTAGGTGTTGAGCTCATGGCAACACCATTTGGCTCTCTTTAACCCCCTTCCTGATGGAGCCTAGCTTCTCTATCTCTAGGTGACCCTTAGTCCCCTCCCTACGGAGGGGGAGCTCCTCATGAGCTCCCTATAAATTTTCACTAAGCTCATTAAATTCCCACAATTCCATTTAGACCCAAACCTGACTGTGATCTCCTCCTGGTGTCTAGTCTCTCCACAACTTTTTCATCTCCACGTCATCCCCAAGAACTTCACTGGAACCTCACAGCTTCCTTTAACATTGGAGAGCACCTCCCTCCATCTCTCCCCCGCCCCACTGAAACCCTTCCATGTCTTCCGAGCTCTTTCTCTTTCCCCATCGGTCCCCAGCTTTGTGCTGGTGCTATTCTAACCTCTGAGAACAAGTTTCTTGTGGGTTTTTTTCTACAAAATTTTTTTCCTGTTGATCCTGGACTCTCTACACTGCTCCTGTGAGGGACAATCCCTTACATTCCCCACCAGACCTGGCCATGGTTATGTCTTGTTCACACAGAATGGTCTTTCCTCTTGTGTGATGAGGCCATCTCCCTTGTCACGCTTTCTCCTGTACCATTTGTTTAATTTCCTGCTTGCTCCCATGCCTCTGGCTTGTCTACCAGCATGCCTGATACCTTGGAGTATTCTGGAACAACAGGTGTTTAATAATTTGATAGAGTGGGTTCCTTTGTAGGTTTGTGCTGGCAATTAGATGGGTAAGACCTGAGCTTAAGGACCTTATTTGAGTTGAGGATTGCTAAGGAAAGCAGAGCTGGAGGGAGGAAACAAAATTAAATAGAGTTCATCTGAGGTTAAGGCTTTCCTTGGAAAAGCCAAGCACTGCGTGGAAAGCAACCCTGCAACACTTCACTGTGAGGATCCACCATGGGATAAAGCCCCTTTTATTCGTACAACCCAATCAATATTTCACTGGCCACATATAAAATATCCTTGGAAACATGTGCAAAGGATGATTTATATACAGTATTGCTCATAAAAATACACAGCACCAACAAAAGATGCTTAAACCCAAGGTGGATCCAAAGCATGGGCATGGGGTGCTGGTTTTAAACTGACAGAGGGTCTAGTTAGGTTAGACATAAGGAAGAATTTATTTACAATGAGGGTGGTGAGTCCCTGGCATAGGTTGCCCAGAAAAACTGTAGCTGTCCCATCCCTGGAAGTGTCCAAGGCCAGGTTGGACAGGGCTTGGAGCAATGTAGGATAGAGGAAGGTGTCCCTGCTCATGGCAGAGAGTGGAATTAAATGGTCTTTAAGATCCCTTTCAGCCCCAAACACTACATGATTCCACGAAAGCAGCATGGGTGAAATACGTGATTTAAACCATTAATCCCCTCAAACCCCGAGGCAGGCTGCTGAAGCTCCCTAACGGCAGAAAGCATGACTGGGGCGGGTAGGGGGGCAGAAATGACCTTCGGTGGGGAGCTGCAGAGGTTTGAGCACTTTAAGAGAACGAGGCGACTGTGGACTACTGGGGGAAGCTGTGGGGCGAGGGGCAGCGGGGGGGAGGCGGTGAGGGCGGGCCCGAGCTGCCATTTCGCGGCCGCCCGGCCCCCCCCGCTGCCGGGCGGTGCCGCCTCCCTCAGGCTCGGGCGCGACATGGCGGCGGCGCGGGCGCTGCAGCTGTGGCTGCTCCGGCTGCTGCTGCTCCCGCCGCTGCTGCTGGCGCTGCTGCCGGGCCCGGCGGGGGCCGTGTGGCCGCAGCCCCAGGCCCAGAGCTCCCCGCCCGCCGGCGGCCGCTGCCCGGTGCCGCCCCGCCGGTTCCGCTTCGCCGTGGCGGACGGCTCGGCGGTGGGGCCGGGCTGCGCCGTGCTGGACGCCGCCTTCCAGCGGTACTGGCCGCTGCTCTTCGGCCGTCCCACCGGTGAGGGCCGCGGCGGGCGCTGACCCTTCATCCGTGGCTTTGAGCTTAACAGCCCCCCACATCCTCGCTAACTTTGGGGTCAGACCTCGGGCTATGGTGGCCGTCTGCCTCACCTCAATTCTGCGGCGGCAGGTGGGGTGGGAGTTGTGGATTGGATGGAGTCTGGTGGCAAGGGCAGCGATGGGTTGGGATTTGGAGAGCAATGCCTATGGCACGTGTGGAAGAAATCTAATCGAGTTTGGCACAGCACTAGTTGTCCTTCTGCCAGGGTTTAGGCTCTTGCTCTCAAGGGTTTTCTCTATCTCGTTTTTTACTTCCTCCAGGTAGTGTTAATCTCTTCATTGCTTCATTTCACTTCTCTTGTGGCTGCAGGGAGAGCTGCTCCCAGTTTTGCAGCCATTCCTGCTTCAGGGTTACTGTTAAGTCTTGGCTGTTCTCATTTGTAGCAGCTCTGGGTGTCCTGTGTGAGGTCTCACCTTGAGGAAAGCTTGCTGCTTTGTGTGTGTTCTTCCAAGTACATACTTGTGCCACGGGGCACCTCTGCCAAAGTGGAGCTGCTAGAAGTCCTGAGGCAGCGTGGCTTTTCTGCCAGGGAGGGATTAGCTCCTGGATTCTTCCTGAAATTGTAGGGTAAGATGAGGAAAGGCAAAAGCTTTGAGAGTCTGAATTTGCTATGGGACATGCTCTAAAGGTGTCTTGAACCCAGACTTCTTCATGATAGCACCCATTGCTTGTCTGGGATGATCTGCAGGAAATCTCTTGGCTGTGGAGCTGACGTGCAGGGACGCTCAGTAGCTGCGTGGGTCTGCTGCAGCCTGAAGCGCTATATCCAGGGAGTATGAAGTACTTCATTCATCAAAAAGAGCTAGTAACTCTGCTGCCGAGTGTTTTAAATGTCAGTGTGAGCTCTGTCGCTGCTGATCAAAGTGGAGAAGGGTGGCAGTGTTGGAAGCCGCTTGGCTTTGTCTTGGGTACATCATACTTTGAAAAAAGCAGGTTTGAAACAGAGAACCCTTTGGCTTATTTTATTTCGTCAACTCTTGTGAGTAGAAGTAGGAATAAATTTTGATTTGAGAGCCAAAAAGACTCCTCTTGGTTCTCTTTTGCTGCTAGGAACTAAAAACAGCTGATCTAATTATTCATGCTCTCCTGTTCCACTCAGAGGGGAAATGTGACCATCAAATCATTTGGAGCAACACTGCGATCACAAGATCCAGCTCACACTCATCACTTTCCATATGCCCTCCTTTATGATGCTCAAACTACACACATTATTTTAAGGCCTTTTTTTCCCCTCTGCCTTCATTTTTTTTTTTGATCTTTTTTTTCTGCATGGGTGGTTAGTAAGAACAGGCAGTGGAAACCCTGGATGAAAGGAAACAATTTGCATTAATAGAGGAAATAAATGGCAAAAACCATTTTCTGGATGCGCTGTGTTGCAGGTGTGGTTGGCAGTAGTGCCTGTCTGCACCTTGGCTTAGGAGGCCGTGTTTGGGTTGGGAAGCATCTCACCCAGCAGGTTCAAACACGCTGTGTGATTGTGGGACCGATTCTGTCGAGGGTCCTCATCAGAATGAGTCTTCCCAGGCCCGAGAGCGGCTGTTCCCGGTGAACTGCCGCCTTCCCGAGCGGAGGGAGCAAGTCTTGCTGTGCTGCTTGCACATCTGTGAGGTTGCCTTGGCTACCAGCTTGTCTGCAACTGAGAGGAAAGCTCAAAACAGGGCTGGCTTCAAGCTGTTTTCCTTCTCTCCGCAGAGGTTTCGTCATCCCTTCATGGAGAAATCGGGATTTCTGTGAGCTCCTGTGAGCTGTGGAGCAGGGGCTCTCTGCATTTCTCTGAAATGCTGGCAGTGCCACAGTCTCTCTGGAAACTTTTTGGTGCTCTTGGCTCATTCAAAGCCAAGCTCTTTATTTTCAGTGACCACATTGAGCATTGCCTGTTCCTGGGAATGCTGTGGGGATGTAAGCATGGACCTTGGCTGGGATGAGCAGGGTCCCGCCCTGCTGCCCCATGCTCCTCCTGGCAACTGACTGCTCTAAGTCCAGTGCATCCCAGTGAAGGTTGAGTATCCATTTGGAATGGGGGAGTGACTCAAGTGGGAATTCAGGCTTGTGCATCCTTGGAAGTGCTCTTCAGTTAGGGAAGTGTGCCCAGAGCTTCTGTTTGAGGTCTAAATGTGACTGGGTTCATTTCTCTGGCTGCGACACCTGGGACCTGCTCTGCAGAAGGTGAAGTCAGTTGGGAACTTTTCTGAGCTGGATGAGACCTTTTGATTGCCTCTAACTCAGCCCAGTTTAGCAGATTCATTCTCCACCCTTTTTTAAAAGGTTTTCTTTGCTCTTTTCCAAGAAGTTTGGGTAGAGCAGAGCTCTTGGGCTTGTACTTTTTTGCAGTGCTGGGAGATCTTGAAAACAAGAGGCTCTTCACCTTCGTGGAGAGGTTTTCACTAGTCCTGGCTTCAGCATAAGAGCCAGAGCTGGTGTTCAGGAGGCCTCAGAGGCTGCTGCTAGTCCATATTCTGATGTTTCTCCTCTCTTGTGTGCTCCTTTAAGCTTCTTTGTGGGCTTCCTCACCAGTTGGGATCAGGTCATGCTCTCCTGGTTGGCTGTGTTGGAATTAACCCCTGCTGAACACCGTGGTGTCTCTTTTGGGGTGCAGAAAGGGGTGCCTGTTTCTGCCTCCATCCCTAGCTGGGCTGGGAGGATGGTGGTGGGCTTGGAAGCTGAGATGGGGTTGATGTGCATGGTCTGTGTCCTTTGCAGAGAATGAGCCATCCTGGGAAACACCCTGCGCTGAGCTTCTCGTCTATGTTTCCACTCCAGGCTGCAATGGGTTTCCCAGCCTAGACTCCAATGAGAGCTGTAAGTGTCAGGGTTGGGAGTGGGAGGGAATGTGGCTGTTTCTGTGCCTGTCACTGGGAAGTAGCACTGTGCGGTTACCCTTGGATTTGGGGAGGGCACCAATTCCTGCTCTTGAGACACTGGGGTAGAGCAGGAGGGACATACCTGAGGGTGCTGATAAAGCAGTGGGGAGAGGTTTAAAACAGCAAGAGAGGGCCAAAATTCAGTTCTCTGGGATCCCAGGGTGCAGTTCTGTACCTGAGCCCTGCCCAGTGCTGTCGTGGAGGTGTGGGACAACCTCCTGATGCTGTTTTTCAGATAAACTGTCTGTCTCCAAAGGCTCCATGCTGCTCTCGGCAGAGACCGTCTGGGGAGCTCTCCGAGGTGAGCTGTGCTTCCCACAGGCATTCCTGCTCTCCTTGCCTTCGGCCTGGGGATGTCTCGTGGTGCCTCTCTCTTTCCATAGACTTTGTTAATTGAGCTCTGCTCCTTCGGGGTTGTCTGTGCTGAGAAAAGGGCTGTGTTTTTTCCTGCAGGCCTGGAAACATTCAGCCAACTTGTTGGGAGAGATGAGAATGGCACGGTGAGTCCTGGCCTCATCCCCTGGGAGCAAAGAGCTCTCCATAGTGCCCCAACCTCCATGGGGACAGGCTGAGAGTGGCTGGGATGCTTGGGATGAGTGGGCACAGCCTTGCCAAGGGCCAAGTGGAAATTCATGGATCCAGCCAGATCCCTGCCTTCTGAGTGGGTAAAGAAGTGCTGCAGCTCTTTCTGCTCTTTCTTTGCACTCTGGGCATTGAGGGCACCTCTGTCCTGCCAACCCTGGGGACAATGGTGACCCTCAGTGTCTCTTGCTAATGGCCATTTGCCCAACATCCTGCTCACATCTTCCTTGTGTTTTCTATGTGCAGTACTACATCAATGAGACTGAAATCGTGGACTTTCCCCGCTTCCCTCACCGGGGACTGTTGCTGGACACCTCTCGTCACTACCTACCTCTGAGGGCTATCCTGGAAACTCTGGTAGGGCACCCATGCTATGAGATGGGTTAATTGGGTGTCCTTTCCCCTGTGATAACTGAGCTCCCTTGTTTGGGTGATTTCTCAGCTGCCTTTGTTAAAAAGAAAACTCTGAGGTATTTTGGATTCCTGGAGTCCAGACTGAAGTTCTGGATTGAAGTTGGAGTCCAGCTTCAAGGCTGAGTTGTTTCTAAGGCAAGGCAAGGCAAAACACTGGCAAACATGGGTGCTGGTTCTTTGCTCACCCCAAGCAGAATTAAACTTCCATATCTCCACCAGTGGCTCAGTTACAGGGAGAACAGGGATTTTATTAAGCAGAACTATTCCTGTCCCTATGCAGCTTTTTGTGTTTAGAGAGAGGTGTCTGAATCCCTGTTGGATCCTGGGAAGCATTTAGGGACTCTGCCTTGTCCTTCTGGAGCTGGACCTTGTCCTCTATCTGTGGCAAGCTGGGTGACCTTTCAGAGGGGATGGAGCATGTTCATCTTTGTCACTGTTCCTTCCCAGGACGTCATGGCTTACAACAAGTTCAATGTGTTTCACTGGCACATTGTGGATGACCCATCTTTCCCTTATGAGAGTTCCACATTCCCAGAGCTCAGCAAGCAGGTAATGAACACCATGTAATGCCCAGCTCAGGTGAGCAGATCCCTGCCTCTGCTCCTGAGCAAGGCACTGAGCTTTCCCGTGTTCCCAGGGAGCCTTCAACGCCATGACCCACGTGTACACAGCCAGTGACGTGCGCACTGTGATCGAGTATGCCCGGCTGCGCGGCATCAGAGTCATCGCTGAGTTCGACACCCCCGGCCACACCCTCTCCTGGGGGCCAGGTGAGGAGCAGGCCCTGCCTGCTGCTGCTCTGAGGAGAGTTGGGGTTGTCCCAAGGGCAGAAATGGGTGCTGCAATCTGGACCCTAAAATCTGGGTGTGGGCAGCAGTGTCCCACAGGCTGGCTTTGACGAGGAGCAAGCTGTTATTTGGGGGATGTGGGACCCAGTGGTCCAGCTTCTAGAGCAAAATCCAAAGGGAAATGTTTCCATCTTTTCTTGGGTCCAAGCTGGGTGATTTTTTTGTGGGAGCATCTGCTCATCCAAAACTAACATCATGGCTTATTGCAAGGATCTTTTGTTTAACTTAGGGTATAGCTGGCTAAGCTTCCTTGCTCTGCTCAGCTGTGTCCCAGCCTGGACACACTGCTCTCTGCTCCAGGGACTGTGTCTCCTCTTCTATGTCTAGAAGTGCAAGAAGCTCCAGAAAAACATTTCATTGTCTTTTTCTCTCTTTTCCTTGCCTCCGAATACCAAAGCCCATGTTAGAATTTTCCTTGTGTGTGTGGTCACACCTGTGGCTGGCTGTCCTTCCCTGTCCCCTGACTGGCCCTAAGTTGTGCTGAGGGGCATTGTAGAGGATGACATGGTCACACTTTGCCCTTTCCTCACCATCCTGTGTTTATTACCATCAGGTGCTCCGGGCCTCCTGACTCCTTGCTATATGGGCAAAGCTCCTTCTGGAGTTTATGGCCCCATCAACCCCATTGTTAACAGCACCTACCAGTTTGTGACCAGTTTGTTCCAAGAGGTCAGCACTGTGTTCCCAGACTTCTTTCTCCACCTTGGTGGTGATGAGGTAGATTTCACGTGCTGGTGAGTTTGAGATCAGTCTGGATGGGGACTAGGGTTAAGTATTTGGGATTGGAGTGTCAGCCCATGGCTTCTTGGTCAGGAGCTTTGGTGTCCTGCTCTCTCAGGTCAGGGATAAGTAGTGGTGCTTGGGATTTTTGGGATTTCTGTGCTTATAGTGACACTGAATGTAGGGAGCTGCTGGTGCTTGTACAGGTCCAGCCACAGCTCTGGAATACCTGGGCAAGCCTTGGACTGATGTGGGAGGGATTTGACCATGCCTTGACCTTACTCCAGAGCTCAGGTTGTCATGGTTTTATTTATTCTCTTTGGTGAACAGGAAATCCAATCCAGAAATCCGTGCTTTCATGACTGAGATGGGCCTTGGTGAAGATTACAAAAAATTAGAGTCTTTCTACATCCAGAGGTAAGGACAGGGCATCCAGGGCCTCCTGCTGTGCTGTGTGATCAGCTCAAATGTCTTCTGTCTTGGGGACACCAGATGACCTTTCCAGGAACATCCCTGTTGGTCATGTCTACCTGACCCCAAAAGGGAACATTTCAGTGGGAGATTGACCACAAAAAAGCCTGGAGCTGAGGAGAAAGAAATCCCATAAGGGGCTGTGCTCTCTCCTTTCTCCTTCAGAAGCACCTTCACATCCTGCTGAGGATGTTGGGAATATCTGTGCTGTTCCTTAGGCTGTATGTAACTACCAAAGAGGGAATGCAGTGACATCAATCAAAACTCGGTACTTTTCCTACTCCAGGCTTCTGGACATCGTCTCTTCCCTTGGCAAAGGATACATTGTGTGGCAGGAGGTGTTTGACAACGATGTGAAGGTGAGAGCTGCCTGTGCTGGGGTGAACAGTGCCAGCACCCCACCTGACACACTGGTGTGCTCTGGGGGGGGGCTGTGCTGGGGCTGGTGGGTGTTACTCTGTAATGGGACTGGGGTCAATCTGAAGATGGTGCTGCCAGTGAGCTGCCCTCATCATGGCTTTGTCACACTGCTGCCCATGCTCTGCTCCCTCTAGGATGCAGGTTTTAACGCTGCACAGGACACTCTGCAAATGGCCTTATCCCTCCTTCTGTTTTTCCTGCAAACCAGATGGAAAGTGGCTCAAAAATCAAGCCCAAGTCTGCCTCAGCTTCCTTTTGGGAGTGTGGAGGGGTCTGGGCACTCTGCTCGAGGGAGCAGGTGATGCTTCTGTCACTGCACTGATCCTCTGCCCCGTGTTCATCTGTGCTCCTCAGCTGAGGCCTGACACCATCATCCATGTGTGGAAGGAGAACAACATGCAGTACCTGAACGAGATGGCAAATGTCACCAGGGCTGGCTACCGGGCTCTGCTCTCTGCACCCTGGTACCTCAACCGCATCTCCTATGGGCAGGACTGGATAGAAGCCTATAAGGTGGAGCCCTTGAACTTTGAAGGTGTGTTCCTTGTGTCCCCTTTCTGCATGGCAGCTGGTGTGACTCAGACATTGCACCAGAACTGGCTGTTTTGCTGTCCCCTCCACAGGCAGCCCTGAGCAGAAGACCCTGGTGATCGGTGGTGAGGCCTGCATGTGGGGTGAATATGTGGATGTCACCAACCTGACCCCCAGGCTCTGGTAAGGGAGGCCACAGGGAGGTCACTTGGGTCATGTGAGGCTGGGCTTGCGTCCCTTTTCTTTGCCACCAAGTGTCATGCTGAAGTCATGGGTCTGGTCTGCACATGGTGCCTGTCTCTGTCCCCCCTGTGTTGGTCACAGCTTCACTGAGGCTGAAATGAGAGTTTGCAAGGCTGTAACAACCTACTGCTGCAACCAGGTTGTGTTTAACACCCATCTGTCCTGTCACCCTGGTCTGCTCCTGATGGCCATGTGTCCAGGAATAGATCTTGGGATACTCTGAAGCCTTTGTATGTGGAAGGACACTGGTCAGGAAAGTGCTTGGGAGTTAAGGGCTTCATGTGAGAATCTTTTGAGCTCCCCCCTGTCCTAACTGCCTGTCCCTTGTCTTCAAGGCCGAGAGGTGGGGCCGTAGCTGAAAGACTCTGGAGCAATGAGACTGTGAGGAACGTGCAAGACGCATACGCCCGGCTGGCCGAGTTCCGCTGCACCCTACTTGGGTAACCATCCTGGGGCAACTGCCCTTGCACAACAGCTCTGGGCTCAACCCTGGGAGGGCAGTGAGGGAGGAGGGCTTGCCCTGCTGCAAAATGACCCTTGTTCCTCTGGAAAGCCCTGGTTTTTCTGCTGCCTGTGTGTGGGCAGAGCTTGCTTTGTGCAGCTCTGGAAAAGTGCTCCTGCTGCTGGCGTAGGCTGGTGGCTCTGGCGAGGAGAGGGCTTTGTGCTGAGGAAGGAGAGGACTTGTCAGCTCTTGACACTCCTCCTGCAGCACCAGCTTCCCCGGGAAACCTGTCCTCACCCTGTGCTCCCTCACATGAGCAAAAAGCTGAGTTTATAAGCACAGGATGATAACCGCTCCCTCCTTGCCACACCTGAAACAGGGCAACCTTGGCCACCCTGTGCCACTGGAAGCCCTCAGACCTGGTGGTGTCACTGCCTGTGCCCTCTCCGTGATGCTATCCTTCTGTTTTCTTCCCAGGCGTGGTGTCCAGGCACAGCCTCTCTATGTTGGATACTGTGACAATGAATTTGGCGGGGTTTGAAGGGAGAGCCCCACTGCCCTCTGTGCACGCAGGAGGAATGTTCCCCCGTTAAAAGGGCAGAGGGACCCCTTGCCACCCCACCTTCTGCTCTGGCTTCATTGCAATGAACATTTCTTTTGCCTCAGCATGCACTCTTTACCTCTTTTTCTATTTTTATTTCTTTAAATCTATAAATAAATGACCCCAAAGAGGAAAAAGGTGCCTATTCCTGCTCATGTGGGGCTTGGGACACCGTGCAAGAGTTAGCCGGAGATGGGTAGGGCTTGCTCCAGAGATGCTGGTGGAGAAGCATCATCCTGGCAGCTCTGGAGTTTGCAGAGTGCTTGCTTAGCTGGATAAACTGCTTAGCCTCTGCTGCTGTCCCAGGGTTTGCTTCTGCAGTCACATTGTGCTGTGGGGTCATGTCCTTGTCCCTTCTCTCTCTTCTGATGGCCAGGCCTGCAAGCCACTACCTCTGCTGCCCTAAACTCTGGCTGCTGCCACCTCCTCTGACTTTTCCTCAGCAGATGACACCCTGGAGCCTTGCAAGTCTGCTGAGTGGTGTATGGCTATTACAAAATCTATGCTCAGTTCTTCAGGCTGTCACCTCTGCCTGGAATTTGGCCAACTGACCCGTCCTCCTCCTGCTCTGTTATTGTGAGGATGAGGAGCTCAGCTCCAGGTCTCCTCCATTCAGAGGGGTTGGTTTCGGTGGTGTTTTCCTTGGAGAAGAAACCAGTGGTGCTGCTGTCCCATAGAACTGGGACAGGTGTGATTGTTGTCCTTCAATGGTTGGGATTGCCGTGCTGGAAATGGCATTCAGCTGAAAGCAGGGAATCTGTCAGGGAGAAATCCTGGCTGGCTGGAACTGTAAATGTGTGTCTTGGTCTTAAGTGAGTGAGATGCACTGTTATGGCTGGAAACCTTTCATGACTGAACTTTAAATTAAAAATAGTGAATTAACAGTTATTACTGCCTGCTATATTTAAAAGTCAGATTTTTTTTTCATTTTTTTTCCCCCCAGTGAGCTGTAATGTGGTACCTTGGCTTAGTGCTTTTGTTGCTGCAGGGAGCTGCTGCCAGCAGGGCTAAGGCAAGCGGGACCCTGGCCATGGGTAGGGTGCTTTGTTCCCAAGAATGTTGCTCTTGATGCTCTTCAAGAAAGGCTCTTCACCACCCTATCCCATTCCCTGCCCTCATTCCACCTTCCCTTCTGCCTTGCTGGGCTCCCTTTCCCCCATAGCCAGGTGTGAGAGCCCCCAGACCTTGGGATACCTATGGAGCACCCCCCAACATTGCACCTTCCACTGAAGCCTGGTATTTTGATCCAGATTGAACATCACCCATGATCCCATTTCCCAGGGTCTCTGCCCCAGCATCTTCTCAAAACCACCTTCATGGAAGTGGATCAGTGACGTGTCCACCCTTGGACGGGCCGGGATCCCGGGAGCACCCCGCTTTCCCTGCCGCGGCTTTGCCGGGTGGCCTGTTCCTTCCAGAACATCTATTTTGGTTGTGTAAAACTTGCCGGGGAGCGGGGAACAGGGAACAGGCAGCGTGTGAATCACTCGGGGCCAACGGGTTTAAAAATAAACCCAAGCGGCGGCGAGGAGCAGCCGCCAAGCCCCCGGATTCCGGCAGGATTGTGCTCCACACGTCCCAAACCCACCCGTGGGCACTGGCACCAGCCAGGGGAGTTTATTGGGACACACTTGCAGTGGCGGGCACCTGTGTGCATTGTGTGTGTGAGTGCTTGTAAACATGTGTGCATCGGGTGCGTGCCTGTAAGCGTGTGTGCGATGTGTGTGTGCTTGTAAATACTTGTGTGTGTGTTATGTGTGTGCTTGCAAACACGTGTGCGTTGTGGGCATCAGGTGTGTGTGCTTGTGAATGCATGCACGCACTTGCACACACATGGTTATGGGTCCTCACATCCACTCATGCACACTAGTGCATAAGGACTGTTGAACACACATGCATTAAGGGCCCTTGCACATGTGCACTCACACACATGCACAAATGTACTTGCTCACGCATGCATGTGGGTCCTTGCACACATGCACTCATGCACAAACTTGCTTACACGTGCATAGAGGTGCTTGCATGCATACACTTGTGCACATCCTGCACACCTGTCCATATGGATACTTGCACACTTGCACACACATGCACGTGTGTCCTTGCCCTCGTGCACGTACTTGCACTCACATGTACACACATACTTGCACTCATGAGCTGGAGTCATTGCACACATGGGTCCTTGCAAGCCCTTACATTCCTGTACCCACTTGCACACATGTGTACACCTGCACATCCGTGCAAATGCTCCCCCCACGTCATTACCCAGACTCACACACGTGCCTGAAGCCACATGTGCTGTGCATGCCCTTGCATGCACTTACACATGTGCACTCTTGCAGCACCTGTATGTTCTTGCACATGCTTGAACACACATGCACATTTGTGTACACTTGCATGTGCTTGCACACATGCTCACACACATATGTACACAGTTGCACACACTCACATCCCCTCCCACACTCACAAGCCCCTGCACGCACGAGGCAGCGTGCCAGGGAAGCCAGGCTTCCCCTCACCTGGCTGCTGCTTTGGGACTAATTAATTAATTAACGACAACACCAGGTATTAAAGCTGCTCAGTCTAATTACAGATCTTTCAGGGTGATGCGGGATGCAGGAGGGAAGTGCTCTCCTCCTCCCCCTTCTGAGGCAGCCCCAGGGGCCGTGTGGGGTCCATGGAAGTGAAAAACAACAAAGTGTTCAAATTGACCCTTTTGAGCCTCTTCTGTGTGTTTAAACCCTGCTCTGAGGTGGGGAACAGAGAGGGGTTAAGTCTGGATACTACTAAAGGGCTGCAGGGGGGAAGGTGAGAGGCTGCTTGGCTCCTTGGACAGCCCTGGCTGGGTTTTGGGGGATGGAGGGGGGTGAAGGAGTGGAGGCAGGATGGAGGTATTGGGAGATGATGGGGGTGATAGGGAGACAGGGGAAAGGGAGGGACATAGGTGATCATGGGGGTGATGGAGGGATGAGGGGAAATGGGGTACATGGGGGGATATGAGGGGGATCGGGGGTGGCGGGGCACCCCCATAACCGGGGGTGATGGGGGTCATAGGAAGTGATGGGAGGGATGGGAGACCGGGGGTGATGGAGAGGACGGGGGTGATGCGGGATGATGGGGGCTGATGGGAGGTGATGGGCAGGGTGATGGAGGTGATGGGGGTTGATGGTGGGGATAGGGTTAATGGGGATGCTAGGGGTGATGCGGCTGCCGTGAGGTGATGGGGGTTGATAAGGATTCCGGTGGTGGGGCGGGAGGGAGGGGGTGTGTGTGATGGCAATGACGGGGATGATGGAGGGTGGCGGGGATGGGTGACGGGGGCCGGATGGGGAGACTCGGGGGGGATGGACGCGGGGGGGCTCGGGGTGAGCCCGGCAGGGCGCAGCAGTGGGCGGAGCCGGAGCGCGCCCCGCCCCTCTTTCCGCCCCGCTGTTCTGATTGGACACCGCCCCCTCATTATGCTAATACAGCACCCCTGGGCGGGGCCTTTCGGCTGACGTCACGGGCCCGCTGGCGGGCGCGGGCCGAGCCGAGCCGAGCCGAGAGGTGCCGAGCGGGGCGGTGCCGAGCGGTGCCGAGGCGAGCCGAGAGGTGCCGAGCGGTGCCGAGCGGTGCCGGGCGGTGCCGAGCGGTGCCGGTCGGGCGGGGCGGGGCGCGGAACGGGCCATGGCGGCGGCGGCGGCGGCGGCGGGCGAGGCGGCGGGGGCGGCGTTCAGCACCGCGAACAGCGGCCGGGTGAACGGGCTGAGCCGCCCGCCCGGCGCCATCGCCATGAAGGACCACGACGCCATCAAGCTGTTCGTGGGGCAGATTCCGCGCAACCTGGAGGAGAGCGACCTCAAGCCGCTCTTCGAGGAGTTCGGCCGCATCTACGAGCTCACCGTGCTCAAGGATCGCTTCACCGGCATGCACAAAGGTGCGGGGGCGGTGGGCCGGGGGACCCCCCGGGTGGAACGCCCTGACATGGGACACCCAGGTCTGGGGGCTGTCCTGAGGTGAGGTGGGACACCGTGAGGTGGGGGGACCCTCAGTGAGGTACTGCTCTGGTGGGATATCCTGAGGTGGGGGGACCCTCAGTGAGGTACTGCTCTGGTGGGATGTCCTGAGGTGGGGGGGCACCCTCAGTGAGGTACTGCTCTGGTGGGACACCCTGAGGTGGGGGGGCACCCTCAGTGAGGTACTGCTCTGGTGGGATATCCTGAGGTGGGGGGACTCTCAGTGAGGTACAGCGCCGGTGGGATGTCCTGAGGTGGGGGGGGACCCTCCGCTGAGCTACCGCTCTGGTAGGATATCCTGAGGTGGGGGACCATCAGTGAGGTACTGCTCTGGTGGGACACCCTGAGGTGGGGGGGCACCCTCAGTGAGGTACTGCTCTGGTGGGATATCCTGAGGTGGGGGGACTCTCAGTGAGGTACAGCGCCGGTGGGATGTCCTGAGGTGGGGGGGGACCCTCAGTGAGGTACTGCTCTGGTGGGATGTCCTGAGGTGGGGGGGACCCTCAGTGAGGTACTGCTCTGGTGGGACACCCTGAGGTGGGGGGGACCCTCAGTGAGGTACTGCTCTGGTGGGATATCCTGAGGTGGGGGGACCCTCAGTGAGGTACTGCTCTGGTGGGATATCCTGAGGTGGAGGCGACCCTCAGTGAGGTACTGCTCTGGTGGGACACCCTGAGGTGGGGGGGACCCTCAGTGAGGTACTGCTCTGGTGGGATATCCTGAGGTGGGGGGGACCCTCAGTGAGGTACTGCTCTGGTGGGATATCCTGAGGTGGGGGGGACCCTCAGTGAGGTACTGCTCTGGTGGGATATCCTGAGGTGGGGGGGACCCTCAGTGAGGTACTGCTCTGGTGGGACACCCTGAGGTGGGGGGACCCTCAGTGAGGTACTGCTCTGGTGGGACACCTTGAGGTGGGGGGGACCCTCAGCTGAGATACCGCTCTGGTGGGACACCCTGACGTGTGGGGGCACCCTCAGTGAGGTACAGCGCTGGTGGGATGTCCTGAGGTGGGGGGGGACCCTCAGTGAGGTACTGCTCTGGTGGGATGTCCTGAGGTGGGGGGAACCCTCAATGAGGTACAGCGCTGGTGGGACACCCTGAGGTGGAGTATCCTGAGATGTGGGATCCCTCAGGTGGGACATCAC